TTAGGGCTGTTGTACATAGGCTCGCTATGAGTCGCAAATGACTCGACGGCACATAACAACAACAACAACATATGTATATATCCTTCTGTGTGATTTACAGCCTCTGAAAACAATGTCACCTATGAGCTTTTTGTCACATTTACTGAAATAATGAAAACCATGCTCAGCAACCAGACTGTCAACATTCCAGAGGACGTCAACATTTTTCTGAAGGGCCACAGTTACTGTGAAAGTCCTGCAGGAAACCTTGCAGAGGGACTTCAATCACATCAATGTAGAACTCTGTCTCTTTGGAAAGAAGAGGCTTCCGGTTGATTAATGGTGTGGGAACAGAAAGGAATTGCCTATGGGTGCATACCATCTACAGCCATATACAGAACATGATTAAGGGTGTTAACACTGGATTTTTGGTACAAGATGAGGTCTGTGGATGCTCATTGCCCCATCAACGCTGTGATTCAGAAGAGTGGGTCTCTGGTTGAAATTTGAAACTTCTTAGGTGAAAAATATATTTGGAGGTTTCGAATAAGACTAGGTGTTGCTTGCTCAGTATCGCAAGCGAGTTAATTCTTGAAGGAAATGACATTGATCTTGTATCATTTTAGCTGCTTTGATTCAACAAGCTACAACAGGATTGAAAACAAGGATATCTGGAAATTTTTGCATGGTATCTATGTCAATGAAAAAGGAAGTTAAGCAGGCTGATGAAGAAATAGCTAATAGTTTTCCAGCTCCAGATATGATGCCAAATGAGTCCTAAGACACATCTGATTCTTGCAATAAAAGTCCATCTATTCATTGACGAAGAAGGAAAAAAAGCCAGCTATTTAGTTACAAATGGGCAGAAATGAGCTTTCTTGAGGACTTTTAGGTGGAGCTAACTAGTGGAGAATTGGATATTAGGTCTGGATTTTAGGAGTTCTAAATTCGGATTATACAACCTCACCTGCTGAAAGTGAGGACATGAAACATTTGCTGCAAAAGATCAACACCTACAGGCTTCAATATGTCTGTTTGAAAATCAAGAAAACAAAGCTCCTTACCACTGGACAAATAGGCAACATTATGATAGATTGAGAAAAATAGATGAAGTTGCCAATGACTACATCTTGGTCCTAGCAATCAGGAGACATACTGTATTGGTTAAGTCTGCTGTCAGAGAGCTCTCCAAAATACTGGGGTAATGATGTCAGTTTGGAGACTAAGGTTCATCTGATGCAGGTCAAGATTTTTTCAATCACTTGTTATACATCTGAGAAAGGACAATAAGGATGACAGAATTGATTTCTTTGAGCTGTGCTGTTGTAGAAGAATACTGACTATCCCATGGACTGCCAAAAGAACAAAATGGATAGTGCGGCCAGAACGTTCCCTGGAGGCAAAGATGAAGCTTCATCTCTCATACTTTTTGCATGTTGCTAGGAGACACTATTCCTTGGAACAGGACATCATGCTTGGAATGGTGGAGGGTCAGCAAAAGAGTGGAAGACCCCCAGTGAGATGGATCAACAGTGTCTGTTCTGCAGTATTGGGCTCATGTGTGTCAGATTATAAGGATGCCACAGGCTAAGACAAGGTTCAGATCTGTTGTTCATAGGGTTGCTATGAGTCATACTTGACAGTACCTAACAACAAAAAAGCAATGTCAGTCTAGAGACCAAAGTGTGCCTAATCTAGCCTATGGTCTTTGCAATTGTTATGCTTCACAAAGCTGAACAATGACTAAGGATGACAGAAGAATAGATACTTATGAATTGTGGTGCTGGAGAGGAGTCTAGAATATACCGTGGACTGCCAAGAAAACAAATAAGTCTGTTTTGGAGAAAGTGAAACCAATTTTCTCCTTGGAAGCTAGGATTACTTTGGGCACGTGGACAGGAGAGACTGGTCCTTGGAGAAGGACATCATGCTTGGACGGGTGGATAGGAAACTCTGGATGAGATGGATTGATACAGTAACTGAGGTAATGGGGGTTGGTGTGTCAGAATTAGTGAGACTGGCTCAGGACAGGGCAGGGTTCAGAGCTGCTGTACATAAGGTCACTACGGGTGTTGGTGGGGTGGGAATAAAGGCACAATAAAGAAAATTATACAACCTTTGGAGCAAAAAGACTATACTAGTACCTTGTGCTGCCAAATTTCAAAATAGGCCATATTGCTATAAAAAGGACCTCAAGCTCACCCTTCATTATCGTACACAATCACCTCTTCACTCTCTGGTAAACCTTTCTCAAAGTAGCCTTATTTTATCATGTCTTGAAGATTTGTAAGTTAACATGTATTGAGATTTTTAAGTCAGTTTGACACCACCATGTACTTACTTTAGGCAAGTGTCAGGTTATTTATATATTATTCATCTTCATTATTGAATGAAGATAATGTTGTCTGCCTCACCAGTATTGTGAACACTGAAGAATTATAAATAAATATATGTGCATGTCATATATATATATATATATACACCCACACATTTATGCACACACAAATATGCAGGTACTTATTTGGAAATTAAATTTTTTTTGTATTATACGAGTAGGAAAAAGAACAATGGCTAAGTATGGTCACAACATAAAGGAACTTGTTTAGATTCTCATTTATCTGTTTTTTTTTTTTTTAAAAAAGCCATATGCAGAAGTAATCTTTGACACACTGGTCTCTTCTTTTCTAGGTACTGGATGTAAGTAGGGAAGGCAAAGAAGAAGTATTCTATGGGCCTACACTTCCCTTTGCTTCCAATGGAATAGCAGCATGCTTTCTGCCAGCTCCTTATTTCACGTGCCCTAACCTTCAAACTCTACAAGTGCCTCATCACAGGATTGGCACCATCTGAACAGCCAATGCTCTGCTAACCTTTATCATGAACAAGGGCAAAATCAAAAGCTTGACTTTGGCTACTGGGCTCAGTGCTCCACAACTCATTCTCAATGCTTCCTTGTCTTGTTTTTCTAGGGTTTATGTTCAAATAAACATTAGCAAAAAAGAAACAATTTTTAAAAAAATGCTATTCACAACTCTGTTAAACTTATCAGTGTATGTCAAAATACATCATGTGTGACTTTGTGATGTACTTTAGTGATTACTGACTGACGTATTATTGTTCCAATGGTCTTTAGACATTCTTTGAACTTTTTCTAATCAGTGTTGTCTAAGATAAAATGACACTGTTGGTAATGCAACTTATTTCATACTAGTGGCATCAATAATCTTATAAAAATAACCTCAATACCTAATCCCTTCACTACTTGGGTCTGTAATTTTTCCTCTAGAAACTCATCATTATGACAATAAATGCTAAAATCACATTTTATTCAAAGTGATACCAATAATGAGAGTACACTAAAACAGCAACTGGAACACCAAGATTTTTGCTTTGCCTCGGTGATTGTGTATCATGGGGTCAAAGCTTGAGTTGACACGTTTTCTCATTGCTTAAGGAAGATCATTTCTGATTCTCAACTAAAAAAAATTAAAAAATAAAAAAATGTTGTGGTGAAGGGGCAACTCCACCCGCTGCTCCAGCAGTCCCCTCCCATGTCACTTACAGCCTCCAAAAACGTGCTGGAGGGCCAGCTACGATTGCATTCTACCCTGATGGCACAGTTGCATTTAAACTGTGTACTTCACAAAAGAGAAAAACAACAAAACAAAATCTCAATCCAAATTACAAGATACAGGGAGCTCTGGTAGGGTAAGTTCATACATACTGAGTTGTGTTGCTAAAACAAATTCACCACCAGCTCTGTAGGAGACGTTTGGGCAATCCTCTCATGATTTACAGCTTCAGAAATCCAATGGAGGCGTTCCCTGAGTCAGAGTTGACTTGATGCCAGTGAATTTGAGTTTTTACTATTTTTAAACTTTGTAAATGGACATAGATGTTCTTTCTGAAGTTTAAAAATGGGCAGGTAGAATATGGAAAACATGCTATGGGTTCATAATCTGAATAGTAGATCAAAGATATACTAATTAGGGAAAAAGGATTTCACCAAGCCAATAATCCCTACATTTGTACTAATCTTTGCCTCAAGTGATAACCCTCAATGTCCAAGTAATAAACATTTAAGTTGTTTAAATTTAATGATGTAATTTTAAAAGTTAAAAGAAAAATAGCCTCAAATTTTGTTACAATAAAGTAACAAAAGACTGGCATATAATTAAATGCAACAAAAGACTTGGCATATAATTAAACCTAAAATTAGTAGTTCCAATAAATTTTTCTATTTTGTTAAATGTATGTCAATCTTTAGCACTTGTAGAATTCTCTACATAACTAATACATATTTTATTATTTACATTTTTAATAAAGCATACAAACATTTTTTCAGGCTAGGTTTTCAGATTCATTTTTTCCACAACAAAAATAAAATTGGGTGGTGAATGTAAATTGAACAAATATGTAAGTTTTTATTTTTCCTTATTTCTTTTCAGGACCTGTTGCCTTTATTAAAAGAAAAAGCTTGACTCTTTTTCCACCCCTGGCCCATAATTTCCTCAGAAATCAGTTACCTTTTATAGGAAACTAATTTTATTCATGTATCCATTTTCCTAGTACTCAAAAGTGAATGACGAGCTTGGGTAAGGAAAAAAAAAATAAACTAGGAGTTTAGATTAAAAGCATATAAGCATATCTGAACCATTCTGAAAATCTGATATTGGCGACCGGTATCTGGAGTGCTAATAGAGATCCTCTTTATTGCCATCTAAGTGGACCTTTACAAATGCCCACCAAATATGGAAAATAGATGCCTGCACTTCAAAATCTTGATTCCTCCCCCCCCCCCCACCAGCGCTTTTATCTTATAAAGCCATTACAATCTGTTTGTATTTCTAGACTTCAGGGCTTCAGGTCTAGTGAAAAAAGTGAGATGACCTAGAAATAAGTTTGACTGACCCATAAAGGAAAATACAAACTAGTCATGATTATTAGGGAGCTCTGGTGGCCTAGTGGCAAGAAGTTTCACTGCAATCCTAGAGGTATGTGGTTCAAATCCACCAGATGCTCTGCTAGAGAAGGAGGGGAAATCTTCTCCTGTACCAGTCAGATCTGATTTGACGGTACACACATACAAAATAATAAAATTTTAAAAATAATTAGAATAAGACTAGTCTTGATTATTTGACATATAACTACCCATATAATACAAATCATCCTTTTTTTAAAAATTTTGTGTATATGTGTGTACCGTCAAATCAGATCTGACTGGTACAGGAAGAGATTGCCCCTCCTTCTCCAGCAGAGCATCTGGTGGATTCGAACTACATACCTCTGGGAATGCAGTGCAGCTTCTTGCCACTAGGCCACCAGAGCTCCCCATCATGTATTTTCAAATCCTTTCTTAGTGATCTTTGTAATTCACTCTAAGTATTACAGACTTGAATTGAGAATTTTTAAAATTGGGCACAGTGCTGAGGCATCCTTCACAGAATTCCAAACAACAGCTTAAAAAGGACATTTCTTCCATAAACAAATTCAGAATACTCAAATTATCAATACAAGGAAAAAAATCTAGAAACTCTTTCACATATGCACAATTCTACTGAAATGACTAAAATATCTATTTTCCATTTAAGAGAAATATGCCATGGGAATTAATTTTCAATTTTTACTCTTCAAAATGAAAAGTTATATTGTGCCTGTACTTCGATTATTAGCTTTCTCTGGATTTCTGTACGAAAAACTGAAGACTTTCAAACATCTAAACTGCACTTCAAGATTTTATTTCATTAAAAGGAAAAAAATGAAGGCAGTACAACACAGAACAGTAACCTTACTGTATAGAGAGATGCCAGCAAAGAGATGAATCCCTAAAATGATATCTAAGTAAAATGCAATAAAATTCCTTAGGCAAACTGGGTTATGATTATGGTATTACTTACACGTTTTCTCTTCATGTTTTCTTCACTGTTTAACTACATGTAGGTTATAGCTCCTTTAAAGGCAATAATGTAAAAATTATTTTAGAAAAGAGTATAAAAGCAACTGGAATAAAATACACCTGTTCTTCCAGGTAACATGGCTCATTTTTATTCTGGCTTTTGCAGAGTCAATTGGTCATAGAAAGGAAGGTGAATAATCCCATTCTAGGTCACAGGCACAGTCTAGGTAAAATATAAATATTTATTTTATAAACAAATACACAAGTGTGTATATATATGCATCTATTAGATCAAATAACTTACAAACATTAAGAATACCAAAATTGTTTAAAAGTACAATTTACATATAAATGCAATAAAATGCATAATTACCCATACACCAAAAACTTGGCTCAAGTTCAGTCTTTTGGTACCGAGTTTTTACAAGTGTCACAGAATGAAAATTCAAATGCCAAATCCTATTAAATATGTGAAAGAACATGTTATTTTGCTGGGTTCTCAAACCAATGTTGGTTCTCAAACCAATTGTTTTAACCAAACAAAGCATGTTTGCATACGATATTCTTGATTAATAAGACAGTATTTTTCATACTAACAGGAATAGGCAGCAAGAATTCAATTTTGGGAATGTAAAGTTTATGGTGAAATTTAGATGATTACTATCTTCTATCTTGGAAACATGGCTGTTTTGTTAATATATAGGATTTATGGAAGGCAGGTTTCCTGAAAGTTTTCTCAGTTGGAGAAATTTGTAAAAAATGTCATATACAGTATTTCTCTTAACAAAGAAGTAAAAGTAAGAACTGGCAAGTACTCTGAAGGTATAGTGAAAAAGTCCAAAGAAAATCCTTAAGAACAAAGTAGCCTTAAAAAATTGTGGTGAATCATTAGAGAAATAATGATTTGAAAATGTTAATGAAAACCAACAAATAGCCTAGATACCCACAAATTATTATTTTCTTCAAAATATGCTTTTGGAGAAAAGAAAATGTACTGGAGATTAAGATCTTATTACAAAAATCTTAAAGTACAAAACTATGTAATACAAATGAACTTAATAATGAGTAATTTTTGCACAAAGCCATCTTCCATGTCTTCTTTCTCTACTATGGAGATCTCCTAATTAAATGTTAATTAAATTGAAATTTAAATCATAACCAAATCAGAATACTTAATAAAGTCATTTCATCACTCTGTTGTCCTTCTCTTCCATACTGTTTGACATTTTATACAAATTATTTAGCTGAGATACTCCTGTATCCAAAATGAACATTTAAATTTTATTCCCATGTAAGTGCCTTAATGTCAAGTTTCTATAGGAAGATGATATTTTAGGTTGGAAAAGTGAATGAGGCCCAAAGTTTTAGAACAAATATTTCAATCAGCAAGTTCTCAGCTTGTAAGGAGATAAGCCTGGATGGAAAATGTAGCTTCCAATAGCACAAAAATCTTCCCTTGTCTGAAGCCAGTTGGTAAACAACATGAAGCCTTTTCACAGAAAACTTTTAAGAGGAAAGTAATATTTTAGGAATAGTATTTACTTAACTGTGTGTAAAATAAAGTACAGGAAAGGGGACCTAAGGCAGGAAGAAAGTGCATCTGGTGTTTAATAAAGTAGAGAGTTTATATGCAAGAAATTGAAAAGAGCCTGAGAGCCTGCACTGGTGAGCATCTGAAAATAGGGAAAAGACTCCAAAATGCCTCTAGAGTTTCTAAGTGACCTGGGAAAGGGGGGATTCACTAGGATGAACATTACAGCAGGAGCCAGTGTAAGATGGAATGTGCAGGGCAGTCTGCCACACTGACTTCAGATTTCAAGAGGTTTCGTCTATAGAGGCTTCTTGAGATACAGGTTTGTTACACCAAAAAATGTACTAATGATACTACTACTAATCAGTACACCACTGGAAAATGAAAGAAGAATGTGACGTTACTTTCAAGGTAATAACAGAAAAAGAGCAGTGTTCCTGTGAAAGGAAGGGAAAAAATGTAAACATCAGGTCAATGGACATGATGAAAAAGAACAGCTTACTCTGCAAAGGTGAAAGAAGCAGCCTCAGAACTGAATACAGAGAACGAATAGTGGAGAAAGTTAAGGAAGCAGATACACATCACTCAAAGTATGGAAATGAAAGAGGAGAAGACTGTACTTTAAAGAAAAGGGACAGAGTTATAAATCTTTGTTCTTCAATTAAGGAGTTACCTTTTTCAAATTTTCCTTGTACAAAAATTCATTTTAGATATATATTTACTGCTAATCAGTTTGTTCTCTGGGGGCTTTTTTTGTGACTGATTTGTTAGTACAAACCAGCTATTCTTAGAATGACTTGATATATACTCTAATACATGATTCGGTATATGAATCCCATATGGATTCATAAATGTTTCATACTCTAGGGAACAAGATTTCCAGAGATATCTACCAAGTTCCCTTGTTTAAAAAAAACCAAAACCACACCTCTTTAAAGGCATCACTATTTTTTAAAATAGATAAAACATCCTCAGTTGCTGAAACTTGTAGTTAAAGCATTACTAATTAAATAAATTGCTATGACAAAGGGGAAAATCCCCATTGCTAAGTGAGTCGTGCTAACCCACGGTGACCTGAGGCTGTGAATATTAACTCGTGCAAAGGGCTTCATCTCTTTCCCGTGGGAGCTGTTGGTGGATTCAAACTGCCGATCTTATTTTGAAGATAGCAAATGTGGTTTTTTTAAGAACATTAGAAAAAATGGACATTCATCTAGGACCTATCATTAGCAAAAGAGGAATAAAACTGAGGGGCCTGAGGGGCCTTTTTTTTCTTGTTTTGTTTAAAAATACCTCTTCTGTGCATGAATATCCTGGTAACAACATACAACTCCAAACACAAATCATTAAATATTTTCAGATACATCACCCCTTTGATTCTTAAAAGAATATTTTAATATACAAAAGAAATTACTATTCATTCTTTATGTTTTCTCCATAAAGAAAGCCTCGCTAAAAATGTCACAAGGCGAGCTGGGTGGATTCCCAGAGCTTGGACTGAAGCTCTTCTACCAAATGATGTTCATCACAAAAGCGAGGCAAAGACAAGGGTAATTAAATTGGTCAGATGAAATCGGTTTGGAAGGTAGGAGGGAGGTAACACTAACTGCTAAAGGAAATCAAACAAGTTCCCTGGGAATGTACAGGAAGATAAGAAACGAGGCCCTGACTGTTTAGCAAGAGACACATCAGCTGACTTCTTTGATGCTTCTGTTAATTTGTGATTTTAAAAAGTCCTGATTTTTTCTCCGGTGGCTCAGTCTCTATGAATTTCACTGCTATCCCACCAGGCAACATCAACATTCCTCTAAATTCATCAGCTGCTTCATAGGAGGAAGACTGGCAATCTCCTCCCCTGTGATTTGCAGCCTTGGAAACTTAAAGGAGGATCAGCTGCGAGGTGGTTCTGATTTGAAGGCAAGGAGCTGCCTCCACACATAGTATAAGAAACAAATCAAAGCACCTGGACGAGAGTCAGAACTGATTCATAGCTGACCCTCCAGAGGACTTTCAGAGGTTCTAAGTCTGACAGTAGGAAAAGGCTCATGTTTTTCCTGTGGATTCGAACCACCTGCCTCTGGGTTTAGGCAGTACAGCTCCTTACAGATGATGCCACCAAAGCTTTTAATATAAGAAAACAAATATAAGATCTTTCCTCCTGTTCCTATAAAAACCTAGAATAGGGTAGTTAGGTAATTTTGGGGGAGGGAAATAAAAAGTATTTTATTAAAACTTAAATTATCACAAATTAAGTTTCAAGGCAAGAAATATATAAAAATGAAAAAGAAAAAATTCATGAAGCAACCAGTACAAACCAAAGAAACACTTCCAGTTAGATAAATTTTCTTCAATTCCATGGAATCGATAACATAATTAACTAGCCTTTATTTCCCTATTTATATATTTTATATTTACAGATATAAGAAAAAAATCTTATGAAGTATTTTGTGATTGCATTTTACAATTAACAGAGTGGTGTGAAATAGCTTTAGATTGATATAATCAACAGACGAGGCACAAAATATTTAAATATTTTCATTTTCCAGTCTCTGCATCTCATCCTGTCCCATTTGTCCAAGGTGAGATAAAAGTTTGCTGTAGGCTTGCCTGTTTGAAAAAAGAAAAAATTGAAATAAAATATATTTAAAATATATTTATCACCACTTTTAAATCTGCAGCCCTCAGGCCTGGTTCAAATTGTTTTTCTGTCAAACATGCTTCTGGGTAGTATAGCACTAGTTTGGGCATTGCTATACAGAGGTAACTCGTGGTTGCTGTGAAGCTGAACACTGTGACACTGATGTGTCAAATGTGTTAATGGTTACCCATGGTGGACAGTGTTTGGTGGAACTCCCTGAATAATACAAGCCTGGAAGCAGGAGTGACATTCACTTCTGTAAATAGCTTGCTTCCAGAAACCCTACGAACAGTGCTCAGGCCTTTTGTTCATAGGGTCGCGATGAGTTGTCTACGACTCAATGGCACCTAACATCGACAACATCACCACTTTTATTCTTTTTCATTTAAATATTTACAAATTGCGAATTTACTTACCAATATATTTAAGACTTAGGCATTAGTTAAAAAAATGCTTTGTATATTTGTATATTGTGGGGGAAAAAAGACAAAAGACTAGGAGTCATTTGACACTTTCTTTAAAGTCTGATTTTTTTTAATATAAAGTGTGGGCAAACAGGCATTGAAGAGTTCATTAAGTACCTGAAATAATACTATGCTAGTTGGGAATGAAATATGCTAATTAATATTGCTAAGCAAAAAAATGTTTTGTTAAAACAGGAAAACTTCTGCCACATGTTGTTGTTGTTCTGCCACATACAAGTGTTAAAACAAAAATTCTATAACCATAAAACTGACTTGTACAAAAAAAAAATCCTCTTGTTTAACTTCTGAGGAGTAACAAAGTTTGAATACAAACCATTGTTTCTCCTATTAAGATGCACTGGTATTTCCTTGTATTGGGGATGGTGTATAGAGATATTGTGCCTATTTCATTGGTCTGAATACTATGTGATACTCTTGATACTCGGAACTTCAATATTAACCTTCTCTCATGGGCACTTCTGGCCAAATAAGGTGACTTGCTAGCAGACTGTTTCTCAACATACAGCTTACATAGATTCTTACATAGAGTCTATTCAGATTTGCTAGTTACATTTGAAGACCCCAGAGAAGCTAGATCTCACACATATACTATAAATCTCATACAAATACTATAAGTAAAATATTTTAGTGTGCATATTGACTCCACTCAAACAGTATTTTTAGGTTTTTAACACAACAATGGAATTATTCTAAATAATCCAACAATCTTCAGTGAAGTCATAAACGTCTTAGAAAAATAAGGCTTTATTACCTATTTTTACCAAAATCTATAATATCTAATTGACACTTTTCTAATTCACCAGATACGCATGAAGTCATTGACTTAACCTAATAATAAGCCTCAAAGGACATGTCATCATGGACTTTATATGAAAACTAGATATTCAAGATTCTGAAGTCCACTTTGCAAGGAGAAATACTGAGTATATCTTGAGCAACAACAGCACAAATGAAATAAACTACTTTATAAACACCGTTACTTTGAAAGGAACAATAAGCCAATGGTGTCAGTTCTGCAAAGGTTGTTGATAAGCTGTGTTTTCTTCCTGTCATTACTGAACTGGTAACAATCATAGTATTAACAGAATATTGTTCAATTCAAAATGAACACAACTGCCAAATTTTTGGGAATGAGAAAATAAGCCAATGCTATTAAAAAGAATGTAGGTTTTTATAATCATTGCTCAAAAAAAAAGTGTAATTAAATTGGTAAACATACCTTTGAGCAATATTTCTACCAAGGCCGCATTTCAGCTCGGAATCCTTCAGACACTGAGTAAGGGTAGAAATCAAGAGGATAACAACCTGTTGGTCCAGTGTTGCTACGGTTTCTAAGATGCTGTAAACCTGGTAACTGTATGTCATGCAATAATCCTGAATAAACTGCCTGAAAGCAAAACAAAGTATTTAAGATCACTTGGGGGACAATTCCTTGGACTGTATCTACAATGGCAGGCAATCAGCTATAACCTAAACCCAAGAAAGACTATTTCATGCAAGGTTGTAACTAGAATTTAAATGAGATATGAAGAAGGTATTTGTAACACTTTTAAAAAGAAATGATTCATTTCTGTTTGAGTCGTGACCATAGAGAAAGCAATGGCAGAAAAAAGGAGGTGAGTTGGAATCTTGAGTTGCTGGAAAGCAAGGAGACACTGTCTAAAACTAGGGCCTTTTTTAGTATTACATTCTGTTAACCTCCAAGTCTGGGAAGTAGTAGGTCCAGAAAAGACTACAGGGTGGGTGGGGTGTTGGAGAAATCAAGTTTTCAAAAATTATTTTTATAAAGAAAACAAGCTATTCAGATTATATTATGTTCTTTATCTAAAGACTTTGGCCTCCTAACCAAAACCAAATCCAGCTGCTATCCAGTCAACATTGACTCATAACAATCTAATATTCAGTTTCTGAGCCGATGAAGTTTTAACTCTGGAGGACTCTCCCTCATCTTTCTCCTGTGGAGTGGTTGGTCAGTTTGAACCACTGACTTCCGGGTTAGCAGCCCAAATTTGACTCTATAAGGACTTTATTTATAAGCAGGATGATATATTTTACCCCTAAAATTTTTATCCCATCTTCCACTCCATCTAAAAATGCTAACAATTGTGATAAAAAAAGTCTTTTCTGTTCCTTCCTGGGCCTTTACATTTTCAGAATCCAGTACTGCCAAGTGATCACAATTTAAATAAATAGGAAACACTTGACCAGTAGCAGTTATGAGATCAAAATTGTTACATTATAGCTCTAGCACAGAATGAAGAAAATGACCCTGTATTGGTAAAAACTGAGCAAGAAACATTAAAACCAAACCACATTCCTGTGCCTTCTGTGTCTGGATTCATCTCCAGTGAGGAAGAAAACCATGGACACGCACTTCTATGGAGGACCTGTCTAACACAGCGAGCAGGCTTGAGGGCCTCTGCACCTGTTTTCAAGACTCAAGCTTCTCACTTTTTTCCTCTCACCTACATGCAAGATTCTTCCTTGAGTCAGTTCCTTAGACTTACCTTTTTCTTTAGTTTTTTATCTCTTAATAACACAATACAATGTAACAATATTTGTGCCAAAAAATGCAATAACTGAAATACTATAAACAAGTAGTAACACATTATGTTTTGGATAATTAGTTATTTAAAAAACATGTTGGCTGTCAAGTGGCTGGCAAGAGTCTCCCTGCCAGTTGGCATATTTTCCAGTTACCTAAACACAGAAGTCAGCTGGGCAGCAGGTCCTCCTTCCGACCCCACTTGGCAGGTTTTTACCATGTACTGCAGGTTCTCTGTGGCCAGCCTTTTAACTAGGGGGGAAAAAAATTCTAGCATTACACATTGTGTCTGAATTGACCATCTGGATCCTCATTTTTAGGAACATTCTTGATTTAGAAAAAATATGTTGTTTTCTTATAAAGTATGTACATGCTTTTCTTAGTCTTCAGAGGAAAGGGTTTTGTATTTTTGTGTTAAAAAGTATATTACTCTCACCTTCTAACCAAATACATAAGTAGCAAAGTATTGTTGTTAGGTGCCTTTGGGTCAACTATGGCTAGGAGAAACCCTCTGAACAACTGATCAAAACCATGTCTCCACTATGCTCAAGCCCACTGTTATAGTCACCTTGTCAATCTATCTCATTGAGTGTCTTCCTCTCTTTCACAGGTCCGGCACTCTTATAAGCATTATGTCTTTTCCCAATGACAAGTGCCTCCTCACAAAAAGCCTAAAATACAGACCAAGTTTCATCATCCTGCTTTGAAGCAGTACCCTGGTTGCATTTCCTCCAAGACAGGAGGTGCAGGTTTGTTCTTTCAGCAGTCCAAATTATATTTAATACTCTTTTCCATAACCACAATTCAAAGGTTTCAATTCTTCTTCAGTCTACCTCACTCACTGTCTAACTTTTAAAGCTTTTTACAGTTCTGTATTGTTTGGGATTCATTAAGTAGATGGAAAAGAGTGCTATTTCCTGGAATAAGAAATTTTCAAACAGCAAGAGCACTAACATAGAACTAACATAGAAGCAAGCTCTTCAGGTCTTCGTTTCAGAAACAAGGTTGTGTCATCTGCATAACGCAGGTTGTTGATGAGGCTTCCTCCAATCCTGATGCCACATTCCTCCCGAATTTTCTGTTCTCCATACAGACTGAAATGGTATGGAGACAAGACACATCCCTGACGTACTCCTTTCCTGATTTTGAACCATGTAGTGTTTCCTTGTTGTGTTCTAAGGACTGCTTCCTGGCCCAAGTATAGGTTTCACACCAGCACAAACAAGTTTCTGGATTCCCATTCTCCTCTAGTTTAGCCACAAGCTGTTATGATCTATATAGTCAAATGCTTTTGCATAGTCAATGAAATTGACATTCCTCTGCTACTCTCTGCTTTCAGCCAAGATCCATCTTACTTAAATTGGCTATGATATCCCTAGTGCCATCATCTCTTCTAAATCCAGCTTATATTTCTGGAAGTTCTTCACCAAAGTACTGTTCCAGTAATTTCTGTGTGACCTCCAGCAGGATTTTGCTAGTGTGTGATATCAGTGATACTGTTCGATAATTTCCACGCTCTGTCAGAGCACTTGTTTTTAGAATGGGAATAAACATGGATCTCTTCCAGTCAGTTGGCCATGTGGCTGTCCTCCAGATTTCTTGGCCCAGAGATGCATCTGTATGTCTTCATTAGTGTTTCTTTATAGTAACTATGAAACTATGATTCTTTCAAATGTGTTCCTTTGTTAAAAGACTGTTTTGGTTATACCTTGCTTTTATTCAGATTGTCAATTTGTACACATTTTTTTCAGAGTCTGGCAGGGATTATGCCAAATCCATAGATCAATTTGGGAAGTTACTGCCATCTTAACAATACAAAGTCTTCTAATCCATTAACATTTTTTTGATTTAATCTTTTATATTTCTTTCAACACTGTTTCACAGATTTCAGTGTATAAATCTAGCATTTTCTTTGGCTAATTTTCCCCCAAGTGTTTTATTTCTTTTGATGTTATTGCAGTGGAACTGTTTTCTCAATTGCACATTCAGATTTTAATCCACCCTGTACCTTGCAACTTGGTTCAACTTGTTTATGACTCTAATAGTAAAAGTAGAGTACTTGGGATCGTGTCATCTGTAAATAGATACAATCTGACACAGGGGGAATTTTACTGTGATATGAACTTCATTATTTTTTGTTTTACAAGAGATGAAAGAAAGAGAGGATCAGGTAGGGAGGGAGGGATGGAGGGATATATCACTAAGGAAAAGCTAGAAGCAGTGTGTCCTTTGAGTCCAGGGTCTCTAGTGTAAGAACTTTCTGGAACTAGGATAAGATTGTTGCTAAGACATACAGTGATCTCTATAGGACACTAGGCCTATCTGTGGAAATGATGTAAGGTTCTTCTTCTAGAACTGGTGCTCGAGAGGAATTTGAATGTGGATTTCAAAACATGTATATACATGGTATACAAGGAGAAAAGACTGAAACTACTTCATCTTACTTGGATCCATAATCAATATACTTGGAGACTATTGCACTGTGAAAAGTCTGTAGTCAGGAACCTTTCCAAATTACTGAGGAGCAATATGTCAGTATGAGGACTAAAGGACATGTTAAGCAGACCATAGTCTTTTCAGTCATTTGCTATGCATCTGAGAGCTGGACAATGACTAAGGACAATAGGAAAAGAATTGATAGCTTTGAGCTGTGTTGTTGGTTAAGAGTATTGAAGATCCCATGAACTGCGAAAAGAACAAATATGCTTTGGGCAAGGTGCAGTCAGAGTGCTTCTTGGAGGCAAAGATGAAGCTTCATTTCACATGCTTTGGGCATGCTAATAGGAGATGTTATTCCTTGGAGATGGACATCATTCTCGGGAAGGAAGAGAGATGGCAAAGGAGAGAAGACTCTCAGCAAGGAGGACTGACAATGTGAGTGTAACTACGGCCTGAAAGTGTCAGAGATTGTGAGGACGGCACAAGATAGCACAAGGTTCAGATTGGTTGTTCATAGGGTCCCTATGAGCTGTACTTGACTCAATGGCACCTATCAATAACATAGAACCCAAGACAGAATTTGTATTAGGACTGAGATACTGCTCTAACAGGTTATCTAAAATGGAGAAACAGCTTTAATTGGATAACAGGGAGTGTCTGGAATAGTTTCAGGTGCCTACCAATAAAAAACCAGATTGCCTTGAAGATACTTATGGTGTTAAGGGTTATTGTTCAAAATGGCTTTCTCAGCCACTGAGTTAGACTTTGTCACATGAATGGGCAGGGACATGCAAATAGGGCATGTTAACTTATCCACAAAGGATTGATTAGTCTCACCAATTCACACGGGGATTGGCCTGTTTTGCCCCTGAATTAAGTGAATCCAGCAGTAGAACTGGAGAATCTCAGTGCCAGCAAAGCAGCAGCAAGAGAACGCAGCACATCCTTCAGGGCCAGAGATTCTTGCTCTGTTTAGATCACGGTCTATGGGAGCAGCAGCCAGAGCAACCAACAGCCAAGAACTAGAGACCTGACATGAGACAGGGCTGACCTGGGGCCTGCTATGCCACAGAACAGGAGCTGAGAGTATTTTGTCCAAGTTTATTGGTAGATTAGGGTGAAGGGAAAGCCATAATTGGCAGGGCTAAGTGTTGAGAGCCATGAGGCTGAAGGATGTACATTATTTCAGAAGCCATCTTGAGTGACTCTACTCTGGTACTAAACTGAATTATAGCCTTTTGACTTTCTTAATATAGTGCTGTGTGCTCTGTGAGCTATTGTAGCAGAGTTTGGACACAGTAAAGAAGTAATATTGGTGTGAGTAGAAATACTGGAATGAACAGAAAGATGTGTGGGAGCACAGCATACATGTCTGCAATCATAGGAATTGGTTTTGTGTTGTTGATGGGGACAGTTCCCGTTTGTGGCATTGGTAAAGGGCAGATATGTTGTCCTCACACAGACCTTGCTCTTTTTAGATACTGCTGGTGAAATTACAGGGAAAAAAGGCTAAAAATAAAACAACTAACCCCTGCACATTTGACAATTAATAAAATACATTTAACAGGGGAATCAGATTGAAAAAATATTTTGAAAAATTAACAAGACTAATAAATCATCCTGAAATAAATTATTTATCCTCAGGTGAATAACAGACAAACATAACTAAAAAGAAACATACAGTTGAAATAACTTCTAAAATGTCCATATTCACCCATTGTTCCTTAGCCACAATGTCTACAAATGGATGTAAAACAACCACAATATTTCTGTAACTACTGACTTAACTGATGGGAAAGAATAGTTTTAAAACTTGTGAATAAAAAAGATGACAAATGAAAACGTAAATCCAAACTAACCTTGAGGTTCATTGACCATCACCAAGCATTTTAAAACACCAGGGAGGAGGAGTTCAACATCACAGATGTCTATGTTCGATTCCTTGGAGAGTTGGAAGATAAAGGCCAAAATGGATGCTAGGCGGGGTGGGGGTGAGGATCCTTTAAACTGGAAATAAGACTTTCTGAAAAGAAGTGAAATGTTGATTTTTATGCAGTTTAGTTTTAAGGAGAACCAAATACCATCTATTTAAAAGATGCCGAAGGAATTTATTCTCAAAAATTAATACAGTACAACTAAAAATGGAGAGGATGTATGTTTTATCATTCTACCCTCAAACGTAAAAAGCAGTAATTGTCCTTTTGGTGTGCTATTAGAAACAATCCAAATATAAAGCAATATAGAAACAATCCAAGAATAAATGTGATTGAAAAATGAATATAATCAAAACAGATCTGAAGAATCTCATTACTAATTTGTTTGATTTCTCAAGTATAATTTATCTGATATCTACTATAAAGTAATCTTTCCCCCGCCTCTTGCTATGTGTTTATTAGGATAGGATTGTGCAAGGTAGGGTTTCTCTTTTTTTTTTGCCATACTCCAAGATAATAAACCTGAGCTCCTCTATCATCTTCTCCATGTGGCAAACATTTTCTCTAATGTCAAATCTGTAAAGAAACATCCTCTTACATCTATTTACTTAGGAATTTGGGAAAGAGTCTTATTATTATTATTTTTCCAAATAATTGGGATGATTGTCTTAGATATTAACTTCCTAAGGAAAGTTCTTACTTACCTCTTCCTCCATAAAGTGAAAGAATTGGAGAATTTAGGTTTCAACATCCTCTCCCAAAGCAGAACAAATTTTAACACTAAGATTCAACAGAGATCATACACATCCTTTTTTTTAAAAAAAAAAATTAATTTTTTACATTTTATTATTTTTTGTGTGTGTACTGTCAAATCAGATCTGACTGGTACAGGAGGAGATTGCCCCTCCTTCTCCAGCAGAGCATCTGGTGGATTCGAACCGTGTACCTCTAGGATTGCAGTGCAGCTTCTTGCCTCTAGACCACTAGAGCTCCCTACACATACTTTTATGTAACAAATCTTTGTACCTACCCTCAACTCTTAGAAGAGGTCTTGATTCAAAAAGTGTTCACTGGACATTGTTGTTGTTAGGTGCTGTCAAGTTGGTGAGTCATAGCTACCCTAGAAACAACAAATCTCAACTTTGCTTTCTCCTGTGACATGAAAATTGCCACGTTTCTAAATAGTTTGACAACAGGAAAACTGAAAATATCACTAAATTAAAACTAAGCATCCATATATATTTGGAAAATGATAATAATTTACCATACTGAAGCACAGAAATCAAGGAGCATTATAAACTCTTTAAAGGCAGGAACATTAATCATTTCTATTCTCTGCTGAGATTTTTCCAGAAATATTACATCTAAAAAGATTCATCTATTCATTATTGAAGGAAGTAGTTTTATTTTGTTCACTCTCGAATTACAAACATTTATTAGGCACCTATGATGTGCCATGTGTTAAGTTTAAGAGTAAAATATATAAAGTTAAGCAAAATAGACTGGAAGGTAGGAATTCACTGTCCAGTGGAGAAGCTGGAAGAGAAAAGGATAATTAAAATATAGTGAGAGACTGCTATGATAAACACAAAATTATTGGGAATTCAAAGGAAGGAGTCTCAACTTAGATGGCAGACTGAAGTGAAGAAAGGTGACATGGAGGAAATCACAGAATAAATGTATCTCTCCTGCATATTAAAAGGGGAAGAAATGCTATCTTTCCACTGTTCATAGCAAACATGGGAGAAAAAAAAGGGTTTTTTATATGTTAGTTAATGTCAACTAATGCAGCAAGAATCCCAAATACTGAGGCTTAAAGCAGTTGATGACTTTAAGGATTTAATGTCACGTTAGCACTTATTTTTTTCTGTCTGTACAAAATTCACTTGAGGGATGTCTCAAGCACAGTGATAGATAACTATAATTTTGCTGAGAATTCAGACACAGGCAAGTAAAAAATATTATGATTGTACAAATTGAGTCCTATGGAGAAAGAAATTTCAGGAGCAGGAAAGAAACACCATGGCATATGGTGCAATAAGGAGTAGGATGGGCAGAATTTAGCCCAGAAGAATGGAATTTTAATGGAGAAAACCGTATGAATAAAGTGGTTATGTAGAGAAGATTAAAGTATTTGGAAGGGCAGTAACTAAAACAACCCTATTCACTACTATATACATATAATGCTATATTCAGTACATTTTTGAAAAGAAAAGTAACCAATCATTCAAAGTATAGATTTTATTTCCTGTGCAAAGGTAGCCAATAAGGTTTGGAGAAAGGGAAGTGTAAAAGTGAACTAATGCTTTAGGAAGAGCACTCTGAAATATTATTTAGGCTGACGGGAAAGAAAAGAGCAGAGATGGTGAAAGTAGTCAATAGTCTAGTTAAAGAGTGATAAAGAGATGTTAAAAGGGAAAGACACAATCATTTGCCAAAGCAGAGAATGACAACTTCTCGCAAGCCTGAATAGAACACTAAGAACTTAAAACAAGTTCAGAAAGAAGAGATTTTTACATATGCAATTCTACAATGAGAAGAGATGGATATTATCAGGTCATTAACAAAGCGAGAAAACCAATACTAGGTAAGACTATCATTATAACATCTTAAAGTTTAGAAAGTAATTTCATATGAAGCTAAATACTCCATGATGACAAAAGAAAACTTCTATTACTAAACCTACTACTATTTAAACCTACCCTGTGTTAAAGGGTATGGAATTTATTAAAAAAACATTGTTATATGATAATGATACAATGTATACCATCTCTGAACCCTGCTCTATCCTGAGCCAACCTCACTATCTCTGACACACCTACCCCTATTATCTTAGTCATTGAGTCAATCCATCTCATGCAGGGTCTTCCTCTCTTATGCTGTCCTTCCACCCTTCCAAGCATCACTGTCTCCCTAAGGACTGGTCTTTTCTTGCAACATGCCCAAAGTATGTCAGATGAAGCTTCAGAATCCTTGCTTCCAGGAAACAGCCTGGTTTCGACCTCTCCAGCACAAATCCGTTTGTTCTCCTACCAGTCCATAGTACATTCAATACTCTTCTCCAGCACCACAACAAATGATAAATAAATAAATTTCATTTATTCATTTGCCCAACAGAAAAATAGTAGAAGAAAATATGAAAATATATTTTCAGGAGAAACTAGTCCTTAGAGAGAGACATCATGGGTCAGAGAGAAAGGAAGACTCTTATCAGGATGGACTGACACAGTGATTACAATGAGCTGGAGCGTGACAGACAACACAGGCAGTATAGGGCAAAGTTCAGGCTGGCTGTTCACAGGGTTGCTATGAGTGCTAAACAAGTAGACAGCACCTGACAACAACAAAGCTGAAGAACAAAACAGGAGTTTATATTCTTTTTAATTCAAGCATATATTTTTTAACCTCATTTTTATTTTTAAAAATACAAGTGCATATTATACAACAAAGAATACAATTGCTTATCTGATGAAACTCATCTGATGAAAAATTAAAATATCTTTAGGACATATAATGGTAACAATGTAAAGAGCATTTGTCTCAGGCTGTCATGAGCCGATGTCATCAAAACAAAACAATCACCGCCTCAACAAAATAAAAAACTCCCAAACCAAACAATAACAAAAAGTCCAAAAGTTTTAAAAGCATCGTAAGCTTTGTCAATACTTTTGAGATATTGCTTTGTTTAACAGAGATCAAGAAATTATACACACCATGTACTCTTACTATTTTGATGTACCTTATGACTTGTACAATGCATTTCTTTAGAGATGACACAGGGGGAGCAGCTGCTGACTTTCTCAGTACCAACAAAACAGGATGTTGTCCAACACCTAAACCATGAGGTGAGGCTGGAAGAAACCGTCCAATATACTGCTCAATAACGTTTCCAAGCAATTGATTCAAATAGGTGTTTGAATTTTGAGACTGGCTGCATATAGTACACATGCCCTACAGGAGAAAAGAAAGAATAAAAGATAAAGTTTAAAAACAAAACAAAACACCCCCACCAACCAATTTCTGCAGCTCTGCAACTGCATCCCTGCCCATCCTCACCCTTCTGCCCCCAACCCTTGCCTCCTTGAACCCCAAGATGTTTTTCCAATTTAAAAAAAAATTATTCAACCTAAAAATTAAAAAAAACCAACACAAAACAAAAAACAAAACAAAACAGGTACAACCACTCTGGAAGGCAGTTTGGTGTCTCCTCAAAAAAGCTGAACCAAAGGGGAGAAAAAAAGCTGAACACAGAAATAGCAGTTATTCCACTGCTAGGAATACAGCCTGAGGAAAAGAGAACTGAGACACACAAATACAGATTAGGACACTGATGTTCATAGCAGTGTTATTTACAATAGAAAAGGCCCAAATGTCCATCAGCAAACAAATGGGTTGAGAAATTATGGTACACTCACACAATACTATGAAGCACTCAGAAGCAATGATTTCATGAAACAGGTGAGAGAGAATTACGTTGAGTAGACTAACTCAGTCTCATAAGGATAAATATGCCATAAAACCATTATCGTAAAACAAGAAGGATAACTAGTAACATGTGGATAAAAGTTTAAGGGGGGAAAGGGGGGAGGGCAAAGTGCCTGAGGATAAGGAGTGGGGTTGGGGTTAATCACAGAGTTGCCAACTTTGGTGGGTGGAGGGAGTGAAGGAATTAGGATAGATGTAGTGGGGACCTGAAAAGATAGGCTGACAGTGGACACAGACCTCTGGTGATTAACTGTACAAAACACAGTGTATGTTTGGGAATGATTATATGAAACACAATGTAAATGAAGGAATATGTTAAACACAATGTACATGAGTGAAACACAATGTATATGAATTCTGTATGTTGCTGTTGTTGTTATGTGCCGTTGAGTCATTTGCGACTCATAGTAACCCTATGTACAACAGCCCTAAACCCTGCCTTGTTGTTATGTGCCGTTGAGTCATTTGTGACTCATAGCAAGCCTATGTACAACAGCCCTAAACCCTGCTCTATCCTGTGCCAATCTCACTGTCTCTGACACACCCATCCCGATTATCTCAGTCACTGAATCAATCTACCTCATAGAGGGTCTTCCCCTCCTATGCTGTCCCTCCACCCTACCAAGCATAATGTCCCTCCTTACAACATGTCCAAAGTATGTCAGATGAAGCCCCAGAATCCTTGCCTCCAAAGAGTAGCCTGGTTTAACCCTCTTCAGGATGAATCTGTTTGTTTTCTTGGCAGTCCATGGTACATTCAATACTCTTCTCCAGCACCACAGCTCAAAGGCATCAATTCTCCTTCTATCCTCCCTAGTCCTTGTCCAACACTCTGATGCATAACAAGTGATTGTAAAGACCATGGTCTGTATCAGGTACACCTTAGTCTCCAGAGCCACACCGTTGCTCTTGAGTACTTTAGAGAGGTCCCTAACAGCAGACTTTCCCATCATGATACGTCTTTTGATTTCCTGGCTGCTGGTGCCAAGAGTGTTGACTGTGGAGCCGAGCAAACTGAAGCTGTGAACAATCTCAATCTCTTCGCCATCCATCCAATTGGTCCAGTGGTGAGAATCTTTGTCTTCTTGACATTGAGCCTCAGTCCATACTGAAGGCAGTCCTTGACCCTCTGCAGCAAGTGCATGAGGTCCTCCTCAGTTTCAGCAAGCAAGGTTGTGTCATCTGCATAACACAGATTGTTAACAGATCTTCCACCAATCCTGACACCACCCTTCTCCTCATAGAGCCCAGCCTCTCGGATAATCTGCTCTGCATACAGGTTGAAAAGGTATGGAGACAGGATGCATCCCTGGCGTACACCCTTCCCAATTTTGAACCATGCAGTGTTACCCTGCTCTGTTCTGACTACTGCCTCTTGGTCCAAGTATAGGTTTCACATTAGAACGATTAAATGTTCTGGGATTCCCATTCTTCTCAGAGTCAGCCACAGTTTGTTATGATCCACACAGTCAAATGCCTTTGCATAATCAATGAAACACAGATAGACATTCTTCTGGTATTCTCTGCTTTCAGTTAAGATCCATCTAACATCAGCTACAATATCCCTAGTACCATGACCTCTTCTAAATCCAGCCTGGACTTCTGGGAGTTCTCTGCTGATGTGCTGTTCCAGTCGTTTTTGGAGACTCTTCAGTAGAATCTTGCTTCTGTGTGAAATCAATGATATTGTTCTGTAGTTTCCACACTCTGTTGGGTCACCCTTCAATATAAAATGTAAAATACCCAATATTTAAGAATTTACCAACCTAGTTTCCAGCATTTGTATACAAGTCAGAGTTTATGAATCACCATAACCAATAAAGACATCTCACATCATCGATATATAATGCTTATATTAATCTCAGGGAAAGCTGAGCTTTACTAACAGATATGCTCTTAGAGCCATGCCTCTCTGGCTGTTCTAATCCACTCACAACTACACAGTGGGAAGACAACCTTGTCCCATCCAATTTATAGTCTCTGGAAACCCAAGGTAGGGTCACATGAGAGTTGGTTCCTATTTGACAATGAGTGAGATAAATGATGTCTAATCAAGCATATCCTTAGCATATTAAAATAGAGAAGTATATGAAGAAGACACTTTCTATTCCTTTTATACTCAGAACAAAGGATCACCATATTCATCAAACACACAAATATGTAATTTAAAAGTTAAAGAATACTTTTTAAAGTCAATTTTTCTAATGTAGGGTACTGGTAACTTTTCTAAATAAGACTACAGTAACACTTATGCTAAAAATTCTGCATTTTGAGAAATTTAATTTTTTTAAAAAAATAACTGACAAAGGGAGAGAAATGTGAAGGATTAAGACTCAGAACTGTAATAAATTATTTAGAAGGCACTGGCACTGCATTTGTTTATGCAATATTTAATTTAAAGCTCTAAACTACATTGTTTGCATTACTCTAACCCATTTTATAGCCAGAAAAACTGAGGCTGACAGAAGTTAAGAGCTTCATCAAGGTCACACAGAAGTCTCAATGTCTTGCTGTTTGACTATAAATTTATATTTAATTAATGAATTGCTTTAATATGTATTACATTGCATTTAATATTTAAGAAACTAAACCACTACTCTGAGGAGCAGAAATGTTTTTCTACTAATAAATACTACTAGTAAGTGTTCCAAGTTATACAAGTTATCACCAATACAAAAGCAAATAATATTCTAAAAGTTCATTATAATTTGTTACTTTGTGATTCAGAGCTTTCTTGCCCAGAGAAATAATTAGTAATGTTTATTATCAATCTATTTAAAATTATTTACTCAAGAAACTTTAAAAATTTATCTGTAATGAAAATCTGCATAAAATGATAAATTAGCAGCAAAAATTAGAAAAGCTTAACGACTCCCCACAGTAACAGAACTCTATTGCCCTGTTTCTTACTTTGAACACTGTTGTTTAAAGAATAGTACATTAAATGATAGACAAATGAAGTAATAATGAATGCTTTTTGAATACTCTGAAGAGAGTTGAGTTATTTGAAGAAATTAAAGACAGAGTTCCAAATAATTCTGTCAATACGATAATAAATCAAATTTTTTAAAATGTACTTCTCTTGAATTATTTAAGAACTCTTATTAAATGGATTGTATGGGTTTCCACATTTCTTGCTGCAGGAGGTCAAGGACTGTAGCCTTAAATCTGGATTGAAGCTCAACATCAAGAAGACAAAGATTCTCACCACTGGGCCAATAGGCATCACCATGATAGATGGAGAAGAGACTGAGGTCATTAGCTATTACAGCTTGCTGGGCTCCACAATCAACACTCTCAACACCAGCAGTCAGGAAATAAACAATTTTGCATTAGGAAAATCTGCAAACGTGGACCTCTCCAGAGTGCTAAAGAGCAACAATGTCAGTCTTGAGACACAGGTGCGCCTAATCTCGATCTTCACAATTAATTGTTATGCTTCAGAAAGCTGAATAATGACTAAGGATGATAGAAGAAGAACCGATGCCTTCGAGTTGTGGTGCTGGAAAAGAGTCTTGAACATGGACTGCCAGGAAAACAAATAGGTCTTTCTTGGAGAGGCTGAAACCAGTCTCTCCTTGGAGGCTAGGATTTTGAAGCTCCATCTCATATACTTTAGGCACGTGGGCAGGAGAGACTGGTCCTTGAAGAAGGACATCATGCATGGAAGGGTGGAGGGACAGCACAGGAGAGGTAGACCCTCCTGAGGAGAGGGACTGATATTGTATCTGGGACAATGGGGGTTGGTGTGTCAGAATTAATTAGACTGGATCAGGATAGGGAAGGGTTCAGAGCTGCTGTACATAGGGTCATTATAAGTTGCAGGCGATTCAAGGGACAACAACAACAACATACTGTATTGGTTGTTTTTATTTAAGCCTCTTGTTTAGAGTCGACAACAACTTGAAGAGGACCTTTGTACTTAAAAGTTGGTTGTTATTATATTTTGGAGGAACATTTTTCTAAGTGATACAGCACTCTTCTGTCAATATGCTGTACTGAGGTAACCTGGGCTTGCTATGATGTTAAATCTTGTGCCACTGCAGTGTCAAATGGCACTAACAGTTACACATGGTGAACGGTGTTTGGTGGACCTTCCAGTTTAAGACAGATTTGGAAGCAGGAGTGGCATCCACTTCTTAAACCACATGCCTCTGGAAACTGAAAACTTGAGAAACGACAGTAGTGATAGAAAGGCTTCACATCTTTTGTTCATAGGGTCGCTATGAGACGTGCTTAACTCGACTGCCATCAACAATTATAACAACAACAACATGGGTTTCTGAGGTCCACTTGGAACAGACCTTCCTGTTAAGAAGTACTTCTCTTCAGTATCACTGTTGTTCTCACTCTCATTACAGTCAAGTTGGAATTGACTCATAGCTGACCCTGACACTCCAGTGGGATGCCAGGCCTGTAAACTGCACAGGAAAGGCCTCTTTCTCTCTTACACAGCAGTTGGTTGATCTAAACCATTTGTCATTTAGTTGGGAACACAGTGCCTTATACCAGTATAATAAAGTACTTCTCCAGTCTCATCCTTCCTAGCTACTTCAATGTTCCTTAACACATTAAAGTTGTTAAAAATTAATTCTTACCTTCATCCCTTAATCTCTAGTACTACTGTCATGTCAAAATAAAACCCTTTGTTCTTGACTGGATTTGGACCTGTAGAAAGAACTGCCCTAGAGGCTTTCTAAGGCTATAATTCTTTTCAGAAGCAAACTGCCTCATCTTCCTTCTGTAGAGTGGATGTTGGGTTTGAACTGCCAAAGTTTCAATTAGCCCCAAAGCATTTATATGCTGAGTCAACAAGCTATCTCTCTACAAGTCAGTCACGGAAGTATTCCATCTGCTTTGGTTTCTCCTCAACACTCATTTAGCAAGCCTTTTTGACTGCTGTTGTTAGGTACTGTCTAGTAAGCCACAACTCACAGCAATCCAATACACAAATTAAAACCTATCCTTCAATATCATCATCCAGCATGCTCAAGTCCCCTGCTGTGGTTACTGTGCCAATCCATATTGTGGAGAACTTCCTCTTTCAACGACTGTCTGCTTTTCCCATGATGATGTCTTTTCTTTAGGACTAGACATTTCCGACAACATGTTCAAAGTATTGAGGCCAAGTTTCACCACCCTTGCCTCTAAGGAACTCTCTGGCTGTACCTCTTCCAAGATAGATTTGTTTGTTCTTTTGGTAGCCCATAGTACAGTCATACTCCATGCCAACATCACAAGTCAAAGGCATCAAGTCTTCTTTACTCAATACTCAACTTTCAGTACACCTGCTACTTCCTATCAGGTGCATCTTAATCTTTAAAACGGTATCCATCAATTTAGGTCTTGAGAGGTCCCTGAGAGTTCCCAACTGAATACATCTTTTGATAAGTGTTCCTTAACTTGACTAATATCTCCTCTTTTACAAAACCTTTAGATACTGTACGGGTTACTAGAGTGACACACTGACCTTGAGAAGTCTTCAGTGTTACCTCTACACCAATGTTGCCAATGCGATCATCTTTCAGAAATGGAAATGTGATTAAGGTGTTCACACTTTGCTCAAAATACATCTACTGTCCTCACGTAAACTTAGTAGAATTGTATATAAATCCTCCACTATATGACTCTTCCCAAATGAATCTCCAGCAACACCAGAATGATATTTTTCTCTCCAGAGAGCCTTATCTACTTAACGCTCATGCCCTTGATCATGCTATGCCCTCAACAGAATGTTCCTCTAACTTCTGCCCTATCAGTATCTTCTCTGACATCTCTTCACAAACTAGTTGAGATAGCTGAGGTGTTTAAGAAAACAACACATTACCATAACTCTCAGTGTGAGCCAGCCCCCCTCATCCATGAATTCTGTCAGAACAGACCATGACTCTTCCATCTTTGTTTTCAGAGTTGAGAAAAAAGAAAAAAAAAAAAAGAATTTACAGCTTGTTTAGGGGATACGCCATTTGAAATTAGTATGTAGTTTTTACATGTTTTAGTAAACTATGTTGTAAGGCAAAAATTTCAAAAATATATTACTTTTATGTAGTAATGTTTACTGTACCTGGAGATACAAAGGAAGACTCTTCTGAATTGCAGTCAACATAGCTGTAGGCAGCTCCTTTTCTTGCTGTAGCACTGCATGTGGCAGCAACAAACAATCAATGATCCGGAATAGTAATTTTTGGGCTTTTGAGGTGGCAAAGATCTGTGCCCATGATTTAACAAGAATTCCTAACAAAGAAAAACAGAAATAGCTGTTTTGGTTACCTTCTAATCACAAGAAATTTTATCATGTCAATTAAAAAAAACCCCTCAAATTAAGGTAGGTAGAGTCAAATCAAAAGTGGCAGTAAGAAGAAAAGATTTTAGGAGTTAAAAGAACTATGTTGCTGCCTATACAACTAAACAGTTAAATTGGTCTAAGAAAAACATAACCTGTCACCTAGATAAATAATGCTTGGTATCAATGAGACTGGCTCAGGACAGGGCAGGTTGCTGTACATAGGGTCACAGGCGATTCCACAACACATAACAACTTATACACCCCTCCCCATATACACACATTTATACATGCATACATCTATACCTATATAAATATACATTCACACAGAGTGATGTGTATATGCAAATGTTAGGCTGCTGTTTTATTTACCATTGAGTCAGAACTGATCCATATCGGACCCTCTGGAAGGTTTTCAAGAGGCGACTTAGCATCCTTCTCTCATAGAGCAGCTGGTGGCCTCAAACCGCGTGTCTTTGGAATTGCAGCGCAGCTTCTTGCCACTAGGCCATCAGCGCTCCCTAATGTAAGATTAGATGCTGAAATTAAGCACATTTTCCCTCTATTTTTTTTTTTCTGCTAGGTTGCTGTGATGCTAAAACTATGACACTGATGTGTCAAATGTGTTAATGGTTATAGTGTTTGGTGAAGCTTCCCGATTAAAACAAGCTTGGAAGCAGGAGTGGCATCCACTTCTGAAATGGCTTGCCTCCGGAAACTCTATGAACAGTGCTCAGGTCTTTCGTTCACAGGGTAACTATGAATCTTCTACAACTCGACAGCACCTAACAACAACAACAGGAAGCTCAGAGGCAAATTTACCATTTAATTTTAGGATAGTTTGTATTGTTGTTGTGTGTCATCAAGCTGGAACTGCCACATAGGTGACCCTTCACCTTGTTTTCAGAGACACTAAATCACATAGCAGGAGACCATCCATCCTCCCCTTGCAAAGCAATTTACTCTTTTGAGTATACTAACTTTTCTCTCAGACTCATCATTTTACTCTGTTATTTTCCTGATATTTTCATTTTACAGCTTGTCCCAAACTAGTTTACAACAATGAACAAAACAATTAAATTCAACAAACAGAAAAAAGGAAATAAGACTAGCACTGACACAGTGGTGATCATACCATAGGCTAGAGCATGGCAATGATCATGAGGATGGTACAGAATAGGGCAAGGGTCTGATCTGTTCATGGCGTCTCTATAATCCTAGTCAACTCAACAACCACCACCACCACATACACCTTGAAGCAATCAACTGACCTCCTTAAATGTCAACATTTATATCTTTCAAAATATTGCAACAGGAATAAAAATATACTAGAATGTTTTTGTTTTCTCTTTAATATCTTTTTTATTTTATTATTTTTTGTGCATGTATGGTCAAATCAGATCTGACTGGTACCCCTCCTTCTCCAGCAGAACATCTGGTGGATTCGAACCAGGCACCTCTCTGCGATTGCAGTGCAAGCTTTTTCTCTTTCATATAAACAAAACCAGGTGCTACTGAATTGATTCTAAATTATAACAGTCCTGTGTCAGAGTAAAATTGTATTCTGTAGTGCTTGATTTATTTCATTTCTTTCCTCATTTTTCAAAATGTGCACAACAGACACCAATTCAAGTTTCTGTAAGAACTATTCAGAGATGCTGATTTCCACTTTCAAATTGTACAACCATTTTCACTCCTGAATATTCCTCAGTTAACATAAAGTAACTGCCCTCAAATTTTATACCTATTCTTTGCAGTTGTTGTTGTCAACTGGATTCCATAAATCTTGATCTTGAAAGTGCAAAAAGCTCAAGACAAACATTTTATAATTAGTTAAGCTGAACGGTTATTTGTCTTTAGAAGGCTTCAGGAGTATTTCCCAGTTTAAGGTTTAAAGACTATCTCAAGACAATTGTTCCAGGAGTTCTGTTAGCTTTCATGGCCTGAGAAAGTTTGGATTCTACTAGAATTTGAAATTATGTTCTGTATTCAGCCCCCCCAATCAGAATTCTTCTATATGTTCTTTGATCCAATTGATGAATAACAGTAGCCAGACTCAATTCAGTTCTTCTGGAAGCAACTGTTTATAGAGATAATTAGATAAATGTTTCATTTCTTCCTTCTATTTGTGTATCCTCTTCCTCTGTATTTCTAGGCAAAGAGAGACCATTTGTTATGTTTTGCCTGGCCTCCTGCAAGCCTTAGAGACTCAAAGCACCACTGACAAACAAGGAAGTACAAAGAAGCACTAACCAATTAACCAAGAGGTCTTAAAATCATTATCAAATCACATCAAGTTTCCTGGTTGTACGTAAGCAACAGTCTTTTATTGTTACCAGTTTCCATAGTATTTTCAACGACCGATTTTTTGGAAGTAAATTGTCAAGCCATTTTTCTGAGGTACTTCTGAGCTGTTGTTATGTGGTCGAGTGGCCTGTGACTTAAGACCTATAGCAACCTTATGTACAAAAGCCCTTATCTTAATCTCTGACACACCTACCCCTACGACCCTAAGTAGACTTACTCAATCTTTCCATTGAGAGCTGAGCATGTTAAATACCCAGGACCTCCATAAAGAAATGGAGTTAATAGACAGTTTCCTTTATTATGTCAGATACCAAAATTGATACTAGTAAAGTCTGAAAAATGAACATCTTTTGTTTAATAAAAAAATCTGAGAAAGTTTGTAACTCCTATTGTTGCTGTTTTGTACCACTGAGTTGAAACTGACTCATTGCTAACCTAACTATGGATTTGCAGACGCTGTAAATCCCACAGGAAAAAACTGCTCATCTTTCTGCCACAGAGTAGTTAGTAGATTCGAACTACGTAAGTAGGGTTGGCAGCATAACTCTTTACCATTAGATCATCAGAGCTCCCTAATTCCTATTCAGTTGCGTTGTTACTACTGAGATTTCCTTTCCTGGACAACTAATTCAAAAGAACATTCAATAAACTAGTAGAAGAACTTATCCAAACAATATAGAAGTACGTCTACTGCACAAACTTTCACATTTTACTTATTATTTTTTAAAAAAATTCTCAGTCATTTTCATAAAATAAAAAGTTTAAAATTCAAGCTCTGGGAGGGGGGTGGGAAATGCTTCCAAAAGACTATATTGATTTTTTTTTTAAAAAAACCACCACCAATAATCACTTCCAAGAACAACAAACAGTAACATTAATCTTCTGTTGTAAAAGGAAATACAATAATCAATCATAAAGAAACACAATGTTCACTTTGCAATATTTTAAATAATGCTGTCGTGCTCTCATTTCTCCAGTAGGTGGAAAACTTAGATACGACAGCAATGTGAGAAGAACTCACTTTCTAACTAACATTAATATACCCGTAAGAGGAACTGCCATCACTACTGACATTGGAAATTATTCATATCACTCTCGGGTGTCACACAGGTATTACTTATAAAAAGAGCAGGCACCTACAAGCCAAAATTGCATCATCTATCCTTGTACTTCATCTGGTCTAATGGTTAAAACCCTTTGTCGAAGACCTTTACATTTATGAGTTCATAGAAGACAGAGTTGATACATTTGTTTTACAGCCAAAACAAGACCTCTGATTTTTTCATTTCAGTAAAGAATGTTTGTGTGTATATATTAAAAATGCAAACAAAAATAGAAAGAGAAAGGACCTGGGGAATAATGTCAATACATACAGCTGCTTTGCAGAAAGCCTTTTTTCTATCTAGGCACTTTACATATTTACTGCTAACTGTAAAACACATAATATAAAAATATTAATGCAACATAATCTCATCACCGAAAGATAACTATAAAAATTTTTGTGCTTATTCCTTTTTTAATTTTGTATGTATTATAACTAAAAAGGATAGTATTTTTTAAAAATGTTTTTATATATAGAAAACAACTTTTCTCAATCAGGACCATTTTAAAATACATTTGGTGTACTTAGCTAGGTTTATAAAATTATTAGACTTAAGAAATATTTATTTAGTATATGCCATTGAAGAAGCTCTTTGCTTGTACTTATTCTAGTTTGCAGTTCAATGCTTGACACACACCCAGTAAATGTTTTAAAACATACCATGAGAGGAATAAAAAATTTAAAAGATATGGTCACTACCATGAATATGTTTTTAAATCGTGTAGGACATTTTGAACACTCAGAAAAATCATAAGGAATGCCACACTCTTAAAAATGTTGTAGAAGAATCACAGAAGAGGTACAAGGAGGGAGATCAAGTCGACCTGGGAATGCAGGAAAGGGTCGTGGGTAGAATTTCAATTACAGAAGAATTAAGTAGTAGAGGAAACAAAAAGAAAAAAAATCTAAAGGAAGGGTATAGAATTGAAAAAAAAAAGGACATAAAAGATGAGAAAAACAAAAACGATATCAATAAAGAGAAGGAAAGAAACTGCTGGTGGATTAACTCTGTCATTTTAGCTGTCTCATCAGGAGTGAGATTTTGCCAAAAGTTTTGAGCCACCTTTCCTTTGTCTTCTAACTCTGCAAGTAAACAGCAGGAGTAAAGCCCAATTAGGAGCTAGCAACATATATAAGTGTCTATTCTCTTTCCCTCGAGTGGACATTAAAAATTAATCCTTACGAAGTTTATACAGGCTCCAACACTCAACAAATTTTAATTGTTCCATCTCCATGAATGCGACACTATTCCTCTTCAATGTGTCATTCTGGACATAACAGAACAGGTAACTGTCTGATTCAAAGTGGCCAATACCAGCCTGTTTCTGTTCACTATCTATCTACATGTACTCCATTTCATTTTTCCTAGATTCATATTTCAACATTCCACATTGTAATTTTTAATGGGTGTTTACAGTTGTTATTCCTCATTTTAAGCCTTCCCACTTTCACTAGGTGAAAGCTTTACTCCATCCACCTGCTTCAGTGGAATCCTGAGTGCCTTCCAACCTGAGGGCTCATCTTCTAACAATCTGTTACTTACAGGGCTTTGAAGGTCTGTTATTTCAGAAATGGATGGCCAGTCTTGCTTCTAAGTCTAAGACAGACAAGGAATATATAGCTACCATTGATTAATTAAAAAAAAATCAATGAAGAAGCAAAAGAAAAAGGTTTAATTTTTCCTAAGGAGACTTTTGTCCCAAACTTTCCATAATTATTTAAAAAAAAAAAACTCAAAAAGATTTTGCATAAGGCTGTCATAAAAAATAAAGAGAAACTTGCACCAAAGTTATTATACATTTGGTTTGGCAAAATCTAAACCTAGACACTTCAGAAAACTTTTTCAGAGACTAATAATTTATAAACCTAAATGCTGAAACACTTATTAATCTACATTTTATTAAGTTAAATTTATAATAAGTTTCCACTTATATTTTGCTCTACAATTAAGATCTCTGAATTGTTACAATAGCTTTCACTACATTAGACATCATCCATATTTACACATTTTCACATTCTCCTTTATCTTTCACAACAAAGATAAAAGGTTTCAGACAGCCCAAATCAGGTTTATTCATATGTTCACAAGATCAAAGGAAACAGATATAAGGTGTTGGCCACAGAGAAATACCCCCCCCAAAAAACCTTAAAAAAAATTTAAATTATGTATAAAAACTTCTAAGGAAATCCTTCTCATTTCCCTTTATCCAGTTCCTATTTTTGGTTAGCAATAAGGTTTTAGTGAACAAAGATATTCAAATTACTGAGTTCCAAAAGCAAGATGAACTCAGCTGTTACAGAAAAGGCACAGAAAAAGATTTCTTTTTAAAAGAAGAAAATAGTATTGTGAGAAACAAGATTTGAAGCATAAATATCTTCAGTGTTGTAGTAAATCCTCTCCTGATGTTCTTCATACAGCGCAAAGCATGAAAATAAAGGATGTGATGATTTTCTGATGTCTTCATTCTGACACTTATAGTTAAGAGTTAAATAGTCCACCTATTCCTAACATGAGTGACTCACAGCAGACTGCTGACCTCAAACTGTTATCAGCATATTGCCAATACTGATTATAATTAACTTTAATATTAACACAAACAAAATATATAACAAAAAGTGCTTAAGCAAGGCACAGATAAATCTAAAAGTCAACGTGAATTATTTTCAAGTGAGTTTTTAGGCTATTGCTATAACTGGTTGGCAGTGATGACTTAACTAGTGTATTTCTATCTATGATACTATTGTCTCAACTGAAGAAGTATTAAGACCAAAAGAATGTCAGTAATACATACCCATCATGCCATAAGCCAGCTGTAGGCCTGCACTGGAATTTTTTTTCCCCAAATAAGGTTTTATATATTTTAATACTTCACCAAGGTATTCTAGGGATTTTGTTACCATGGCAGATTTATCGGAAAGTGTCTGTAGATTTCTGTAAGTTATACCAACAGCCTATAAATAAGGGAAAACATGATTTAGCTCTCCAAACTTTATATATTACAGACTTTGAAAAATAATCTCTTTGTAGAGATACTTGCATGCATAAACTTTTCCATACATTTAAATTTTCATCCTTTATGATAAACACTTAGAATGAAAATGCAAGTGAAAAGAAAGCTTTGTTGTTTAAAATCAAAATGAAGGTTAAAACAATGAAAATCCACTTTGAACAATAATTATTTATTAAAGTCTGATTCAAAACAGGAAGCGCTCATGAACACTACTGGATCTATGACCTGGTCCCCACTTGATAGCAATGAATACTAGTACAACAAAGCACTAAAGGAAACACAGACGAAGTCAGAGCAAGACTTTCAAAAAGGTTGGCTCATCATATTTCTAAGGAACCCTGGTAACCTAGGGGTAAGAAGCTATGCTGCGATCCCAAAGGCACGTGCTTCCAATCTACCATCTCTTCCCACGTGATTTACTGCCTTTGAAAACATGATGGGGAAGAGTTAGCTATGACTCATTGGCACACAACAACAATAACAAAATCATTTTTCAACTTTATAGTTGAGAATGCAAAATTCTCAAATTCTTCAGGCAAGACTTCCAAGTGTGGCTGCCACCCTCTTAGAAGTAGGCTTCTTAGTTCAGCTCTGTAATAGGAAATTCTTCTTCCCCCCCTAGAATTGTCTTTGAGTCATCAGATGCTTCTGGACTCTCTCAGAGGGAAAAAAGGGATGGCATGGGGGACAGATGGTAAAATACAAATGCGATGAAGCAAAGTCATAAGTTGGTGAGAGGCAAACAATTCTCACTTCCTAAGGAGTCCTAAAAAGGTCTCAGTCATTCTAGGGTGTGGAGGTGGGTGCGTGGAATCTGTAAACAACACATTTGAGAACCAGTGCCTCAGACATCTCAGTTGTTCTTATTACTTAGCCTTTCACTTCTCTAGACTTGTTTTTATGTGCTGTTGAGTAGAGTACAACTCATCGTGACCTTATAAATTGCAGATATGAACCCTATTCTATCCTGCACCAGGGTCATCATCTCTAACATACTTGGGCCCATGACTACGGTCACTGTGTCAGTTCATCTGGTGACCTACCTGTAAGAAGTTGCACTGTCAATCGTGCTAAGGCACACAATTTGAATCCACCAGCTGCTCCATGGGAGAAGGATGGGCAGTCTCCTCCCATGCAATTTACTGCCACTGAAAACCCACTGGAGGTCAGTTATAAATCGATTCTGACTCAGTGGTACTCAACAATCTCTAGACTGCTAGATATGAATTCCTCACTCAATATCTTACTATCATTGGCTTTTATCAACATTTCTGTGCAAAAAATGAGAATACAGAGGCCTGAAAATACAACCTTTAGAAAAGACTGCTTGCAAAGGTGGCCCCTGGCTGATGCTTGGAAATGCAGATTTGGGGAGTTTGCATGATATAAGGACTCACTACCCCTGAAGTGTTGATTCAAACAACATTGTTTATGCTAAACATTTTCGTTCCTTATGAGACTCAAATTTTGGTTAAGTATTTGGCTGAAACGAACTTGTGATCAGCCTCTAAGAAAAACTTGAGCACTGAGACTAATGAGCTTCTTTGGTAGATAACATTTAATGTGTTTTTATGTTTCATTGCTGTAAAAATGAAACATATAGTTAGTGTAAGACTCCCAGAAGTTTTACCTACTGCCTCCAGACTTTGGCCCAGGCACCTTTTCTCTTTGATGACACTGCTATGTTGTTATGTACCATTGAGTCAAAACCACCAGCAGGTTTTCAGAGGCTGTACCTCACACGGGAGGAGACTGCTTATCTTTCTCTCCTGGAACAGTTGGTGGATTTGAACCACCTGCCTTTGGGCTGGCAGTAAACTTCTTCCCCAAAGGCCACCAGACCTCTTTTACATTCTTATATTGTAAGAAAGTTTAACTGTGCAGCTGACAATACGGAGCTTTCTTTGAGTCCTCCTTGTAAGGCAAAGAATCAGGAGATGATCTTTCAGATTCTTCAAATTAAACACATTTAAAATCAAACTCCTCACCTTGTTGTGTGCTGTCAAGTCAGAACTGACTCACAGCTGACCCTCCAGCAGGTTTTCTTCACGGGAGGAGACAGCCTATCTTTCTCCTTTGGAACAGCTGGTGGACTCAAACCACCTGCCCTTGCTTTGGCAGTGCAACTCCCTACCCACTAGGTCACCAGATCTTCCTCGTCTCCTACTACTCTACCCTAAATCAAAGTATTCCTATTTCTGATAGTTAAATACAAAGTTCACTCCATATCAATTGAGGAATTCCATAATAATTCATTATCCAACTATTTCTAGCTATTACTAGTTTTGCACTCTAACTTACTGCATTTAAGTTAGAACCAACTTATAGCTGACTTGCCAGTGGGTTTTCAGAGTAAATCACACAGGAAAGGACTGCTCATCTTTTAGCAACAGAGTGGCTGGTGGATTCAAATACCAGGAAGTCCAGCCTTTACACTCTTATGGAGTCCAAATATAACTTTGCCTCAATCTTTAACCTACTCCACTGTCCTTAAGTTTCATAAAGTCATTTCATTAAGTCAGATCTATTTCAAAACTTTACACACTTTATAATATACAAGCCAAACTTTATCACCAATATGCAATTGAATTATTAGCCTGCTGATTGATGTATCAACAATTTGTCATTAAGTTCTGTGGGGTCCATCTGCATTTGATAGCAACCTTACTTAAAACTGGCATTTAGGAAATACAGTCTTGTATAGTTAGTTAAGGATCTCTGGTGCTTCGGTGTTTAAAGAATGCGGCTGCTACCCAAGAGGCTGGCAGTCAAACCTACTAAGTATCTCTGTGGGGAAAGATCAGACAAATCCAGTCCTGGAAACCCTACGGAGCAGCTCTACTGTGCCCTACAGGGTCTCTAGGCTGGAGATGACTTGAGAGCAGTAGCTTTGGTTTTAATTTTATTATTTTAACTTTTGTGTGTGTCTTATACTCTCAGGCAAACAAAAGGGCTCTGAGGTCTACAATGACTTCTTTCAGCTCTTCAAATGTCAAAGAAATTCAAGTCTAAAATTACTTGGATTTTAGAAAACAATTTTAATATAATGGATGACAAGAGAGTAATATAATTGAATCAAATTAAGGAAGACTCTGAAACCTCTCATAGCCTAGGAAGGAAGTAAGGAGATATGCTACTAACCCAAAGGCAAGCAGTTCGAATCTACCAGCTACTTTGAGGAAGAAAGATAGGCAACAATCCATGCAATATACTTTGAAAACCTGCTGCAGGATCAGCTATGAGTCTCTTTTATCTATGAGTCTCTTTTAACTTGATGACACACACTAACATCTGAAAACTCTGAGTGGGCTGCTATCTCCGGTTCTAGTCTAATATCGTTGGTAGCAAACCATAGGTATTTAATTAATTATAGCCTGAAAGACAAAATCTATGCAACTTCTAATGTATTTTAATGTATCTTAATAGAAACTAATAAAAAAAATCAATTTATATAAAGAAATTAAGTTAAAATTTTCAATGCAGTTAATACCAAGCATTTTGTAGAAAAAGAAATCATGCATTATTCTGAATAGCTTACAAGACACCCATCCAAGCATATTAACAATTTTAACTATGCTGTAAAACAAAAAATATTATTTAAAAATACAGTCCTATATAATTAAAAATTAAAAGTAAATTTTGAATGGGACTATTTACAGTGTAGATGAAATAAAACAAATGGCATAAACTTTACTATCATATGAAGTAGCTGGCATTTATAATAAATACACTTAAATTTTACTACACCACTGTTTACTATAGGGTGGTAAACACTATTAATCTGGAACTATTCTGGACACTATGCAGAGAAATATAGTCCCTTAAGTACCTGCAGAACATTGTTACCCAGCAATTTGAGCAATAAGATATTTCTACAATTTAGATCAGCCTTACAGAAAGGCTCTTATGCATCATTTCAAAAATTATTTTCCATTAAATGTAATTTTGTTGTCCCTAAGAGTGAATTGTACTATACTTCAAAGTCACATTTTTCCTCCTCTAGAATTTTAGAGTGGAAGACAACTAGTTAGATTAAATTGAAAAGAATTCATTTTATTGAAAAACTTTTATGAATACGTTATGTTTTCTTAAAAAAATAATTGTAACTGACCTAGAAAATTATGTTAATAAATGAAAAATACCTCAAGGAATTGAACAAGTGCTTTTTTAGGGTCTTCTAAGACGGTTAAATATTCAACTTGAGCCTTTGAGAAAATATTCTTTACTTCTGGTAGTTTAAACAGCAACCTTGTCAGTTCAGCCAACTGTTCCAAGTATTCTTTCTCTATTAAAATAAAAAATTAAGTAAGTTAAATAAATTAAATGTCTATCTATAGAGAGATGAGCAAACAGGAAATGTGCAATTGTTCATTTATGACATCCTTGCTTTTAAAATTCAAAGACTTGGAATTAACTCTCTCTAAGTCTAAGCACCATTTAAAACAAAACAAAAATATACTTGTGAACATCTTAAGCAGAAAAGTTATTCATGTAGAGCCAATTGAAGTAATAAGCTATCAAAGTAAATTTAGAGCAATTTTCAGTGCAGCCGTTGTGCAATTTACAAAATGGCCATAAACAATAGCTTTAGGAAGAGGCATGTCCTACAAGCAGCCAGGACGGCATGGAAGATAATGAAAATTTTAAAAGTACAAGTATCACTCATGAAAAATAGTAATGCAGAAAAAAGGAAAAATTCATAATTGGATTTTTTTAGGGTGTTCACAATGTGATATCTGGTTATTTATTTCATATTTTCTGCTTATTTTGTGTGATCATTTTCTTCAGGGGGAAAAAATAGCTTGTCACCCGAGGAGTAAGTTTTTGTTCTTTGCTTCCAAAGAAACAGTTCTTTTATCTTTACAGGAAGGAAATTTATCACAAAAACTAACTGGAAAACATAAGAAAAGAAAAAGAGGATGCAAAAAGGAAATAAACTTGTGCTCAGTTACATCTAATTATAAATTTATTTTACGTATTTCCTATTCATTTGGGTGGCAAAAGAGTAAATTTTAAACATATTTAAATATACATAGAAGGCCAAAAGCTTCCTATATGCACATCCAAAAGTAACTGAAGAAACTAAACCATAGCACAGGAACACTTACTTACCAATGGACTGTTCAGGATTTATGTCAATGAATAAATCATCAGGCACTGAGAAGTTCTTTATATACATTTGCAAAATACAGCGAATCCATGATCTCACAGTTAAGGCTTGAAAAGACACACAATCTGAATGACAGAGTGCTTCACATAATGCACTGTAAAAATAAATGGCTGGTTATTAGAAAAATATAACAATATGTTTCCAAAGTACAGATAAAAAGTAAAGAAACATTCCTCATTCTTGGCTTCACTTACTTTTCAGACAAACACACTACAAGAGAGAAGCCCTCCTGAAAATGAAGACCACAGACAGACATGAAAAGCTATTTCAGCCAAATATCCTCATCTTTATATGCAGTATCTAATTTTTAAGATTTTGTTTTTCCCACTGATGGCATGTACACAGACTTACATGAAGGGGCAGGTAAGAAAGAATTTGGTTAAAATGGGAAACATAAGAGCTTTCTAACTAGGTTTGTGAGAGAATAATAAAGAAAGTGGTAAGTAGGATAACTAAAGTAAAAAGAGAAATAAAAATCTTCAACATATAGAAAGCTGAAAAACTAAAGACAAAATATACTTTTGTGTGGTTCTCCTGATGATTTTATGCTCTCTTTCTACCTTTCATGGTACCCCCTCCAGTCCTTACTTAAAACGATCTCTAAAAGAACTCTAAACTGTTAGGTAATATATATTTCTAGAAATGTTATACTTTGAATAACAGTTGCACTAAGGTTAAGTGCTGTCAAGTTGTTTTGCAATTTATGGTGACCCCATGTGACAGAACAGAATTGCCTCACAGGGTTTTCTAGGCTGTAGTTTTTATAGGAGTGGATCACTAAGGCTTGTTCTCATGGAACTCCAGGGAAGGTTGGACCTTTCTGGTTAAAAGCCAAGTACTAACCAACATACTACTAGGGCTCCATTAAATATAAGTTGTCACCAGAATGTATAGCATAAAGAAATGAAACTAGACATTTTTTAGCTATGTATCCTCAGCGAAGCTACTCTGCATTTCTTTTTCTTTAACTATTACTGAAAAGAAAATACTATTCCAAATTATCTTGGGGAACTCTGTGGCATAATGCCAAGGAGTTGTGCTGTCAATCCAAAGGCATGCGGTTCAAACCCACTGGCTGCTCTGGGAAAAAGATGGGTAATCTCCTCCCATGTGATTTACTATCTCTGAAAACCCAGTGGAAGGTAAACATGAGTTGGTTCTGACAGATGAAACACAAAAACAATTTCAAATGCTAAAATGATTTAAAGCCATTTTAGCAAAATATTTAATGATAATGTAAATATTATTATTGCAGTATTCACAAGCAAGAAGAGATCCTTAAGTAATATAATGGAAAGTGATTGCTATTACATTATAAACAAAATCTTAATAAGAAACAGACATGTAATGATTATACATAATATACATTCTTTCTTATAATAGCACCTCACCAACTATCTCTCTCATTTTTCCAGACAACTTAGACAAGATCTACACTGGCCTCTCAGATTGAAATACATACTTTCCCCTTATCTTGATGTTTATTTAAATCTTCTGGATCACAGTATTCTAACTTTTTTTTTTAAAATTATAGATTTTCTAAGTTCTGTTTAATATGGCAAGAGACCCTTATTGTTAAGGATACAAATGTTCAGGGCAGCAAACTGTTATGTTTGTGATTGCAAAAGTTATGAGTTAAGCTGTCAAAAGGATATGGTTATCATTAATTCTAAAACTACAACAATACCAGTGCCTCACAGACTCAGCAATATTAGTTGTATAATTTCTTACAAATGCTGAGCATGGAAGGATCATTTTTCAGATGAGAATAAGGCTAGGAGAAAGTTTTGAAAAAGACCTTAAACAGCAACATGTAAAAAACAAAAACATAAGGCACCTTTCCTACTACTAGTGTCAAAATGCTGATGTATCAAAAAAAAACCAAAGAATTGCCATAGTGTACATGACAAAGTTCAGTTTTCACTTGTGTAAATCCTTCCTTTTCTAAGATACTAATCCATCAAGGACTTACACTAATATACACATTTGAAATAAAAACACTTACCTATTCTGTAGGACATGACTTAAGTATCTTGCTACAACTTGGGGACTGATGATATCATCCCAACCAAAAAGTCGAATCATTGACAGAACTGGTTGAGGTTGAAAATCTGATGGAGCTGTGCTGGGTATGTCCATTGCTAGCAAAGTAAAATCTAGATAGAAATGAGAAGTTTAAAATGAGAAAATTTTAAAAATTCTGTACCACTCTCCCCCAAACTGCATCAATATGAAAAAAGAAAAAAACCCCAAACAAACAAAACCAGTTCTAAATAATACAGTGTTAGATTTTGACAAAGTGTAGAACAAAATCCAAAACGGAACTAAGTTCACCGTGTGAAAAACATTTCTACAAGAAAAGGTCTAGAATGATCTACCTTAGCAATGTCCTTATGGTTCTATGACTATAATGACTCCAATCAAGGCTCATATTTAAGTCTGATGTTTTCGCTAATGTCTTTTCTTTCAAAAGATATCCTTCTTTATCCTACAAGTCTAAACATGAAATACTTAAAATCTAGTTACTGAAGTTCTCTTCCCATCTACAGTCAATGACTCCATCCCATTTCAACACGTTGAAGATGATATAAATATGGATAGCTACCAAATATAAATGTTCAGTTTTGATCTCTTCACTGAACAACAGTCATATATGCAACACTTGTCTGCATCTGTCAGTTTGCCGAACTGTGTTAGCTCGTGCATCTCTGTGAACCTGGAAGCTATGCTACCAGTATTTCAAATACCAGCAGGGTCAACCATGGTGGAAAGCAGAACTTCCAGACTAACAACTGAAGGACTGGCATCCACTTCTGAAATAATAAGCCTTAAAAACCTTGTGGACAATGGAAGAACACTGCTGGATACGATGCTAGAAAATGAGGCCCTTGGCTTGGAAGGCACTCAAAACGCAGCTAGGGAAGAGCTGCCTCCTCAAAGTAGTTGTCAGGTGTCAACGACTGAGTACGACTCATAGCGACCCTCTGAACAATAGACCTGTACCTTGTCCTATCTCTGCCATCCCTCTATCAATCCATCTCGCTGGAGATCTTCCTCCCTGTCTCACTGACCCACGAATAATGATGCAGATGGAGTAAAGCCCACTCAGTGAAAGAACTTAATTTGCTGAAGTGTCAAGACTCAAAACAAAGAGAAAGAGCTTCAAACGTCTATTACTACCACGATGGGCTTGAGTATAACAGATACAGGGTACAGGACAGGGCAAGATTCAGATCTGTTGTGCATGGGGGTGCTATAGTCATCAACTCAATGCCACCTAACGACAACATTTAACACTTCTATTTGTGTATCTCAAAATTACATCCATAACCAAACTGCTAATGTCCCACGAAATATACTCCTGACATAATTCTTCTCTTCTCAGTAAATTACAATTCAATCCACTTACCCATCAAAACCAACAAACTAGATTTTCTTATTAAAATTATTCCCTTTATTTCTGCCCACTAGATTGCACTTACTTAGAAAATTATGTCAGGTCTTCTTTCAAAGTTCCTTTAAACCAGAATTCTAACCATCTTTTACCACTACTGTTGTTGTTATAGGCCATTCAGTCAACTGAGACTCATAGTGATCTTCAGTGTACAATAAATCTGAACTCTGCCCTATCCTGGGCCAAACTCACTGTTTCTAACACCTCCTCTCCATTACCCCAGTTACTATGTCAATGTATCTCATCCAGGGTCCTCTTCTCTTGTGCTGCCCTTCTGAGCATGATGTCCTCCAAGGACTAGTACCTCCTGGCCACATGCCCAAAGTAAGGGAGATGGAGCTTCAAAATCCTTGTTTCCAAGGAGCAACTTGGCTTCACATTCTCTAGGAAAGACCTGTTTGTTCCCTTGGCAGTCCGTGGTTTGTTCAATGCTCTACTTTTTTAGTATAAGAAACAAAATT